TAATCACTCTGCTACAAACCATTCTATTGGTGTTAGGTTACAATAATCAAGGCTGCAACGATAATAAGAAGTGCCTGTTTGGTTTAGCAGTAACATTTTATTGCAATCTTGTTTAAGTCCCATATAAGTGATTATGACACTCATTTTGCATCATTTGGATAATTTGTTGAAGGGCAAAAGGACAAAAATACTTACGAAGTCATTGGCTAACAACATTCAATAGTCTAAAGGTGGTATAAGAGTGACTAATCTATTAAATCTCTCAAACGTTAACCATTTAGCTGATACCAAAGCAAAAATTGACCTTTTTCTTTTTTCTTTTTTTTTTTTTGCTGACATGGATTAAAAAAGGAGGCAAACACCCATGAAGTCATCAGCCATGAGTATCTAATAATCTAAAGTAAGAAAAAGGACATGAATCCTTATAACGTTAATTTAGTAGGTGCAACTGTGATTAATCCGTCAAATTCCTCAAACGGTCAATGTTGAAAGGATTCGACGGATTGGTCACTGTTATACGTATTAAAGTAACATTATAGGTATTCCTGTCTTTTTTTTTTACTTTAGGTTATTAGATGCCCTTGACTAATGACTTTGTGATATTTTTGCCTCTTTTTTAGTTCAAGTTAGAAAAAAATGGTCAACATCTGTTTAAATGTTAATGTTTGAGATTTAATGGATTGATCACTTTTGCATTAACTTAGATAATGTTATAGGTATTTTGGCTCAAGTTAAAGTGCTTTTTTGCCCTTGTGCTTTCATTTAGGGAGTACTAGACACCCTATACTACTAAGTGAGGCATTTTTCCTCTAAATCATTTTTCAAAAAAGTAAAAATCTCCTTCATTAGTCATCCATTAACGAAGGCAGATTTTGCTCCTCTGGAAAATAGTTTGGAAAAAAATGTTTCACTTACAAGTATAGGATGCCCAGCACTTTTTAAAGAAAAGTATATGAGGAAATATACTTTAACCCCTTGAAATATACAAATGATAATAATATTTCACAAAATATCATAGTTTCTTCTCAAGTCCTTAGGGACCTTTTAGATATTAATAATTTTTATGAAATAACTAAAAAACCCCCCATTAAAATAAAAAAAATAAATATTAGTGATTACTTTAATTTAACAATGATTAATTTTCTTCTAACAATAACTGGAATGGAACAACAATGAATAACTTTTCTTTTGCAAACTTTTGATTCATTGAAGTCTAGGTGCTGTAAATACCTGCGACTACTTTAATTTAAATATTATTACTTTCTTCTGGTGATAACTAAAATGAAACAAGCAATTACAACTTTCATAATAGAACGAGCAATTACAATATTCCTTGTGGAAGTTGTAATTGCTCGTTCCAATTTAGTCATTGCCAAAAAAAAGTAGTTATTGCTTAAATTAAAGTAATCACTAATATTTACTCTTGAGTTAAAGTGCATTTTTGTTTTTATATTTTCTTTTAAAGAGTGCTATGCACCTTCTACTAATAAGTGGGTTATTTTTTCTCCTACATCATTTTTTAGAGGACCAAAAATCTCCCTTTATTAATGGAGGGAGATTTTTGGTCCTCTGAAAAATGATTTAGGAGGAAAAATAATCACTTATTAGTACATGATACTTAACACTCTTAAAAGGAAAGTATATGGACAACAATGTATTTTGACCCATTTTTTTCTCACTTTAGACTACTGGATATTCTTAGTTGACAACTTTTATAAATTTTTTACCCCTTCGTCCTTTTTTGAAAATCCCAATCATTATGATTTGAATTCTTTACCGCATATTGAGTAGAAGCTACTAGAAAGTGCTTCTGAGTTCAAAAATTACTATTGGATGTTTATTAAAAAATTATATTTGATAATATTAATTATAGAAAATTAAAAAAATTTATAAAATATTATATCTTTCTGGATAATTATATATCTAAACGTAATTTTGATGACTTCAATCAGAATTAACTTTCTAATAGTCACTTATAAAATAAAGGTGTCAAAAAAAATAATTATTTATCAATATCATTTTTGATTAATATCACTTTTAAAATCATGATTATCTATCATCTCGTTTGTTCAACTCCAACCCAAAAGGGCACTAAAGTCTTGTTGCGTTAAGCAGTGTCAAATATATGAACTGCATAATATTACCATGCTCTATCATCAACCCACTATTTAGATAAGATAGAGAGCTAAGCATCATATTCTTTGCCTTTCTCGTTAGCATCTCCATCCACATTCTTTCCATATGTTCGGACAAATTTACAAAAAAAAAAAAATTGAAGGAGGATAGAGTTAGGCTAAATATCATCAGTGTTAGCTCCAATGTCCTAAACAGAAGGACTGTGTGTACACATAGTTGCAGATTGTGGAATATTCTTTTCAGATACTTTGAAATTGAAGTTGAAGTTGAAGAGGCATACCCTTTGTCCCTATGTATAAATTATTTTTTGGAAGCTCATTTGATCTCTAAATATAAAATATTCATTTTGTCTCTTCTATTTTTCCCTTATTGTCTTGAAAAAGAAAGAGATATTAATTGTGTACTTTACTTACTATCACCATGATATTAATTGTAACATTATTTAATGTAAAATTAAAAAATCATTATAATTTTAACTAAATAATACATTTTTATCTATTAAAATATTTTATATATAGAGATAGATGCTTGTAGTAGGGTTTTAGGTAATTTTATATATTTTTTTTCACTCTTTTGTTGTCCATTTCCAAATGCTTTTGAATTTTGATTTTATCTGTTCTGCATCGGACGAAGCTCATGTTCTTTCCATTGGTTTTGTACACATCATCGTTTGGACGCATTTTAAGAGCAATATTTTTTTAATTTATGAATATGAAATATATTTTTTCTCTTTTGAAAAAGATACAATGACTCCGTCTATTTAAAATGTTTGGATCGAGAGGGGAGTAAGTTTATCATAGTATTTCTATGAATAGAATAAGTTTATTTATTTATTTAATTTTTTATTCCTTCTTACAGAAATATTTTTTTTTTGGGGCAAAATACATACTACTCATGTCTTTAATATAATATGAAATTAAAAAATTTTGCTTATTAAGAAATATTAATTATAACCTTGAAATTGTAAAAAAATTTGTAACTTTAATTTTATCCTTTTTTTGTAATTAATGATCATAACAAATTGTTAATCCCTCTTGTTTTTTTATAAGGCACTCCTAACAACTCATTAAAATCAAGTAAGTTAGTTAGAATAATAAAATGTCTTAAAATAAACCACTTTTTCATTTTTGTCCCTGCATTAAAAAAAGAGTGATTTGAAATATGGGAAGAGTTTTTTTGACAACTAAAATATTGTACTTCTTTTTAGAATTTGTTGGAAAATACTTTTACAATTTTACATCAAAAGTTATAAAAATCAAAAGGAAATGATTTATATAAAGGACAAAAAAAAACTTGTAAAATGTGACTAATTATTTAGGAATTCAAATGACATAAATAAACAAGAGATAAAATTAAAAAAAATCAGTTATTCTGCCTTCGCCTTATATTTAGAATAAAAAAAAATTAAAGCTTTATCTTATATTATGGAATGAAAAGGATAAAAGTTTTTCTTTTCAAATATTAAATTCTTGTGCCTATGACATAACTTCTCCTAAATTTTAAATTACTAGCTTGAGTTGCATGGGTTACATAGAATAAGAGATAAGTTTTTGTTTGGGTTAAATATGAAATATTGCCTGTCAAGGCATCTGAGTAGGCCACAAAGTCATATGGGCTAAATAACTGAAGAGTCAAGCCCAATCAATAATATAAACAAAAGAGCCAATCAAAATCTCAAGAGAAAGCCTCAATCAGATAAGTGTGTCAAAATCCCGCCAATTACAAACCTACTCCTTAGACTGTCGGTACATAAAGTCATAATCTCAAACGATCCCAGATCTCACGGGAACATAATCGTTATTCCCAAGTATCCCGAAGGAACAGGTGAGTTATATAAAAATGGAACACAATGATGAAAAACTGTGCCATGAATTTTGCAGACCATATGTAAGGAATCCCTGATTATTCACAAAAATGTTCCAAATTCCATGAGAGAGACCATCATTGCTCTGTCATTATAAATAGAGTACCAAATCTTAAAAAGAGAACACAGGGATGAGTCCAAGAACTTACACCCATAGCTCTTAGGTTTATCAGATAGTTTTTTTTTATTCCAGACTTGTAATCATTTACGCTTTGTAATCTTTAAGTATTATTCAAACACCTGCTCTACCAATTCTTACATATATTTACATTTGGGTAAACTATGGTAAGGGAGTTCAGAACAGTTTGTCATCAATTGAGACTCAACGTCTTTGGCACATTTGATAATTTGTTGTTCCTGATGAACAGTGATACAATTATACTGACTTATGAATATAGTGTCTTTTTTTTATAAAAGAATTCTTTTTTTGTGAAACTTGAAAGAGGAAAATTTTTGCAATGGAACAGCTATAGGTGTGGAAAGTAGATGGATTTGGCAAAAACAAAAATGCTTGCCATGTGTAGGAATAAAAAACTATTGGGATAACTAAATTTTTAGTCTTTCAAATATACCTCAATTATTGATTTGATCACTCCAGTTTAATTTTTATCGATTTCATTCCTTAAGTTTGTCTCACATATTAATGTGATTCTTATTATTTAAAGAAAAGATAACACAATTAAAATTTACTTATATGAATATAAAATATTAATGGTAGTCATATAAATTAATTAAAAGAAACATAATTATTTAAGTTAAAAAAAAATAAAAACCTTTAAAAACAAAAGATAATTTAAGGAATTGAAAGTTTCATTGTTCCAAAAATATTTTACTTAATGAAGCTTGGTAGAATGAAAGAGAGAGAGAGAGAATGATTAGAAATAATTTAAAAGTGAAACAACTAAATTTCTCTTCTTTCTTAAATTTAAAATAATCTTATAAGGTCTCTTGTAATATTTTTTTCACTCAAATTCAAGGTACACAAAACATTTAATCTATCTAAATATAAAACTAATGTGTTTCTCATTTTTTTTATAAAAGTATCTTTTCACATACCAAACATGACTATGTATTGAAAATTTTGCAATAACCATACCTTCATACCAGAACAACGGAAACATGTTTTCTCTTACCTCTTCTTTTACTTGCCTTATATAAAACAAGGCCTTAATTTATGAAAAAACAACAACATAAAATCTTTCTAAACTATATAAAGGATTAAAGGTAAAAAATGTCCTTGAAATACACGCAAAAGGTTACAAATATTTTCAAAGTTAACTATAAATCATTTATATTTCTCAACTTTAAAATTTTTTTATTCCATTACCCTGCCATTTTTTTGTTTAGTGGGACTTACATTTAAATTTTTTAATTTTTTTTATAAAATATTATATAGTGGGTCCCACCAATATTTTTTACAATTAAAAAATTCTTCTCTTCTTCCACAGTCAGGTTGAACACACATGCATGCCCTGCCACGAGCCTCCTCACCTTGGTCATCCTCAACGGAATGTGTGGTGTAGTCAAAGATAATGACCTTATTGTTCTTCATCATCTCTTGTCATCCTCCGATCTTCACCGTTGGCCATCTCTGCACCAGCTTGCTAACATAGAAGGCACCAAGGAATTAGAGCCAAGCAACAAGGAGTGCATGTCCATTCCCTCTCTCTCTTCCTATCAACAACACATCTCTATTTCTAATAAAAAATTGGGGGAGAATAGAGACACATCGCTTCTTTACAAAGGACACGAGCTCAACAACAGCGCATGCATGCAAGGTCCTTCAGGCGGAGGAGAGATCTAACCACCTTGGTATTTGACCACTGCCAAGTTCCAAGCCTATCCTCATCTATATATATATATACATACTTAGTAGCACTCCAATTCATTCATAACACTCTCACAATTCACTCATAGCCCACAAACTCATCTTAGTTGATTAATTCCTATATTGATCAAAATATGGGTTCTTGGAGGTCAATGAGATGGCTCGGTTTTGCTAGATGACACCTCCAAGTTCAAGGGAGAGAAGTGCGCAATGCCCAACAAGAACTTGGCTCACAGCGACAAAGTGATCGACGCCATCAAGTCGGAGGTCGAGAAAGATTGCCCCGACATCGTCTTCTGCGCCAACATCCTCACCGTTGCCATCAAAGACTCCGTCCACCTTGTGATCTCTCTCTTTCTCTCTAGTCTCTTCCTATACTCTCATTAAACATTTCATAACCTCACATACAAATGATAATTTCAGCTTGGGGGCCTTATTGGGACGTGAAGCTCAGAAGAAGAGACTATAGCTCCGAGGGCCTTACTTTACCTGTAAATAGGAACAACTTGAGAGCTACAACTCTACTTGCCGTGCGTATAGAGGATAGAGAGGGGAGAAGGAGAATGCATGGAGGAGAGAGAGGGAAAGTAGGGAGGAGGGACAGTAGAGAAGGAGATGGAGAGAGAGAAAGGAGAGATAGAGATCTTCTAATGATGCCGTATTGGCGGTTTCGTCTTCAGTTGCTGTGACTGGAGGTGATCTTTTGATGCTGCCAGACGACTCTGTCACGCCCCCAAAAATTAAGTGTGATCCACACAGATTACATATACAAACATAAATCTTTGAACAATGATTAATGAAAGTTATGAAATAATACATATGATATATTATCAGTATGATTATATGTATATATATTTACTTTTAAAATAAATCAAAATATCAAATATTTTATCAAAATTTGGGCAGCACTTCCTCTATAAATAGGATAGCCTAAATATCTATAACAAGAGACTTTTACAAAACAACAATCATAATACGAATCTTCGCTGCCCAATAGCAAATAGTCAATGTATTAAAAGGTCAAGATTCTAACAATAGTATATGTAGAGCATCTAATCTTATTTTTATCATAATACATAAATTTCATAATTACATTAAAAGAAAATATTTACAAAATAAATCCCCACTAGGCTTAGCAAAATCCCTCGATGGTAAGCACAACATGCAATATCAACTACACTACTATCTGAGACCAAATCAAACATCTTTCAATGAATAACATCCTAGCTATAGCTAATGAAAATAATGAAAAGTATATCAATGAGTCTTTTATAAACTTAATGAAATAATCATTGAAAATAATGGAAGCACATACTTCATATGCATATATATATATATACACGATAGTTATGTAAATGTAAAAACTATGAACACATGAATTCAATTACAATTTGTTAGAAATTTCATTCTATTTTAAACATCAACATAGTTTGAACACTTTGGAAATTATTTAGCTCACTCTAGAATCCAAATATGGTATAAACAACAATTTGTTGTAAAAGATCAAATTTTAAGAAAACTTAAGTTTTAAAATTCACCCTTTAGTAGGAGTTAATTAGAATGATTAACAAGCATGGACACATAATCCACAAGGGTAAATAACTAACAAGCATGGACACACAATCCACAAGGATAAATAATCAAATGTGGTTTAAAGCCATGAAAAAAGCATGGTAAGAGCGATAAAAAAAGCACAGGCATGAGACTCACAAAAATACGCATGGGTATGATGCTCACGAATAACCATCCCTTCATTCCACATGCATTGGCTTTCGCATAAGGCTAGCACTTCCTATAAGCACCCTACTAGCTAGGTGTACCATGGTGCACTAAGTGCTAACAGTATTATCATTAGCAATCAGCGTTTTGATTCAATACCACATTTTAAACTGAATATACATGGGTCAATAAAATCAATATACTATCTTCTTTCAACATTTCTCATCATATTCAACATAAATGAATTCATTTGTATATATCCCAAGCATGAACATAATAGTTAATTCATTCTTTAAACATAAAACAACATTTTTAATATAGCAGATACTTTTAGATGTTCAATTGAAAGATAAATTTAACTATATAATATAATATAATATAATATAATAAAAATGATTCCATGTATGGCAGTTAATAATAAAATTAAGATTATGGATGAAATAAATTAATTAATTAAAATACTTTATCATTTGTTTTTACGGAATAAAAAGGGCTATATAAATAAAAGAGATGGCACATGAATATGAAAAATTAATTTTTTATGAAAATAAATTTGTCAAAGAATCATTGGGATGTTATTCATTTACCTTATGAAGTGTTCCAAATATAACTTGTTCCTAAATATATCTTCTGGCATCAATATTGGCCTTTAATTTCCTAGTGCCCAAATAATACCACTGTCATTTTTTTATATACACTTTACAACCCAAATGCTACAATGCAAATAAATTCAAAGAAGTAGAAAGACAAATTCTAGTTTCAACATTTCTAAAACATTGCATTAAAAATTTCATAGAAATTCCAAAGATTAATATATATTAAAAGCAAATTAGCTCATGAATTATCAATCAAGATACCTATTTCTAAAAATCTTTGATTTTTGTCCCAACTTCCATTGTAAAGTGTATATTTTAATTAAAAACAATACAGCTATCTCATGTATCTTGCCACTATATGTCAAATTCCTCTAACAAACATTTTATCGAGCACCTTATGAGCACTATTGTTTAAAGCATAATACCAAGCTCTTTTCTCTTCTAGTCTCCTGGTAATTCCCATTATCAATGCTTAGATTTAACAACCTCCTAAATTCCATTTCTTCAACACCAATCAATTCACACCAAGAATTGATTCAACTCAAAAAATTCAAATCAATATATATCTTCTTGAAGCAACAACAGAGAAATAGCAACAATAACAATAAGCCTTTATTCCATTAGGTGGGGTCAGCTATATGAATTGTAAGATACCATTGTACTCTATCATTACCAAGCTTTTAAAAATATTATTAATTAAGAGATCACGTTCAACAACCTCCAATAATATTCTCTTAAGCCTCTTATACCCCTCTTAACAGGGCTCAAAGTTATATGCTTCGCTCTTCTCAGTGGTGCCTCTCGTGGTCTTTTTTGTACATGCCTAAACCATCTCAAACAATTTTATACCTTTTTTCCTTAATAGGTGCTACCCTTACTGTTTCGAATACGTGCTCATTTTGAATTTTATCTTTACGTGTATGTCCGCACATCTATCATAACATTCTCATATTTGTTACTCTAACTTTATGTTTTTACTATCCGTTAGAGCCCAACATTCACCATTATATAACATAGCCGGTTTGATAGCAATATAATAAAACTTTCCTTTAAGTTTATTAGGCACCTTACATTCACAAATAATTCCTTTAGCTTTTCTCCAATTAACCACCCATTTTAAATCCTATGTGAAATATTCCCATTGATTTCGCCATCATTTTGAATAATGGCTCCCAAATATTTAAACTTTTCACTTGAGGTATAATTTGATGTCTCAATTTTACTTCTAAATTACTATCGACTAATCTCTTACTAAATTTACAAAATAAATATTCCATCTTACTCCTACTCAGATGAAAACCTTTCAACTCTAATGTCCTCCTTCATAACTCAAATTTACAATTAATCTCTTTTCTTGTCTCTGCTATAAGAACTATATCATCCGTAAAGAACTTACATTTGAGAATTTTCCCTTGAATATGTTTTGTCAAAATATTTAGGACCAAGTTAATAGATAAGGACTCAAAGATGATCCTTGATGTAGTCTAATCTTCATATGAAAGTCCTTAGTTTGACCATTAGACATTCTTATACTAGTTTTTACCCTTCTCATACATATCTCGTATAACTTTAATATAAGCAATCCGTGCTTCCTTCTTTTTCAAGGCTTTCTAAAGTACTTTTCTTTTCTTGGTATACGGTCATAAGCTTTTTCCAATCAATAAAAATCATGTGTAATTCTTTATATTTACAACGATACTTTTCCATTAATCCTCTTAGTAGATAAATTGCCTTTGTAGTTGATCTACCTGATATAAAACCAAACTGATTCTAAAAAATACTTATCTCCAATCTCAACATATGCTCAATTACTTTCTCCCACAATTTCATTGTGGCTCATAAGTTTAATCCCTCTATAGTTAGTACAATTCTAAATAGTATAACATCCCAGTTTTTAATTGCCTGATTTATTAAACCTAACAAGGGTAATTAAGTAAGTTAAGGTGTTGTGTGGCTAGGGAGGTCTAATAAGCATATTTAATTATATTTTAGCTCAAATTATGGATTTGGTATTAAGGCAGGCCACCCAGGAATCAAAAGGAGAAGAAAAGAAAGAGTTGATGTTACTATACCACATGCTGCGGTATGGAGATCGTTCACCACAATGCACAGACACTTCTGATATGAGGGAGGACCTCTCTGTGCCATGTGCCGTGGCGCATGGTCATCTTCTATAGATATCAGTCATGAAAATGAGACAAAATAGAGAGAAAGAAAAGAGAAACCGGAAGAGGTGTGTCAACCTTTGCTAGGGTTTGCTAGTAGATGACATTGAGAGTATTTTGAAGGCTACAAGCACCCAAGATAAGTATCACACTCCTTAATCTCTCCACCTCTTCCACATTTATGAGTTTATGATTAGGGTTTAATAGTAGAAGTAAAATTTCGATCCATATAGGTTATGGGTTTGAATTTATTGACTCAAATGGAGTTAATGGGAGTATATTAGAGTATTTAAACCTAGGTATAATTAGTTTTGATGTCTTAGGTTTTTGGGCACCATAAATTCCGAATTTGTATTTAATATAGGTGGTTGGAAAATTGTGACGCCATTAGTGGAGATTTAATGGCTTATTAATATTATTAAGGACTAAAGGTAATTGATAAACCTAAGGGATAGGCTCAAATTCTTATGGAGTGAATGTTAGGCAATTTAGAAGTGGAGATTAAGGGTTTAAATGCTTGAATTGGTCATGTTGATGAAATTCCACTTGGTTGATTGTAGTGTTGGCTCTTAGTCACCTATTGAATTGAAAATTCAAGCTTGAAAGCTAGTAGATTGAGGGGTAAATGTTTAACCTCTCAAAGGTTTGAGGTAACCAGAGGAACTATACTTTAGGTAGTTATATGTTAATTGATTATAAATTTATTTCTAATCGTGAATGTTGCATGCATGAATTGATTCTCAATATGAAAGCATGTATTAGCTTCAATAGGTGTATGAAAATTTAAATGTGCAAAATGCTATTTTTGATTTGAAATATAAATGTAAAATCAAGATAGTTTTCAAAGTATGAACCTACATATGCCTTTGGAAAATGAATGTGATGATTTTGTGAGATAGATGTGTGTTAATGAGAAATGGATTTTGAGATAAGTGAGAATAACATTGAGAAAATGATGAAAATACATACTTGGATAGCGCATGGTCATGAGCCCAATGTGATTCTTATGATAATAAGTAAATAAAAATGAAATGTAAAAATGAGTGAGTATTGATTATGATATGATCAGTGGCGGGAGGTCACCTAAGGATTGGGAGTAGAAAAAAATTCATATGGTGTTTAGGTAGCTCTCTAGTGTATAGGAGTATAGCCTTATCCCACAGTTTATCAAGGGACTGTCCCATAGTTTATCGAGAGATTAAAACTTAA